TTAGCACCTTCGTTCGTCAGCACTGCCGTTCGTTAGCACCTTCCGTTCGTCAGCACTGCCGTTCGTTAGCACCTTCCGTTCGTCAGCACTGCCGTTCGTTAGCACCTTCCGTTCGTCAGCACTGCCGTTCGTTAGCACCTTCCGTTCGTCATCACTGTCACTCGTCAGCAGAATCATCCATTCATCCACCACCTCACTCATCCATAATTCATCCTTAATTCCCGATTCAACATTTTTTTCGACTCATCATTAATTCCTGATTCAACGTTAATTTCCGATTCGTCGTTAATCGCGATTCATCATTATTCCCGATTTATCATTAATTCCCGATATGTCATAATTCCCGATTCATCCTTAATTCCCGATTCAACATTAATTTCCGATTGATCTTAATACCCGATTCATCATAATTGCCAGTTCATTATAATTCCCGATTCATCATAATACCCGATTCATCGTAATTCCCGATTCATCATAATTCCCGATTCATCATAATTCCCGATTCATCATAATACCCGATTCATCATAATTCCCGATTCATCATAATTCCCGATTCATCATAATTCCCGATTCATCATAATTCCCGATTCATTCATAATTCCGATTCTCACAATACCCGATTCATCGTAATTCCCGATTCATCGTAATTCCCGATTCATCATAATTCCCGATTCATCATAATTCCCGATTCATCATAATTCCCGATTCATCATAATTCCCGATTCATCATAATTCCCGATTCATCGTAATTCCTAAATTAATAATGTCTCAGAATTTTGTTATTGCTTTTATATTTAGAAATTTCGATATAATTTAGAGACTTTGACGCACTTGTACCTAATTTAGAGACTTTGACGCACTTGTACCTAATTTAGAGACTTTGACGCACTTGTACCTAATTTAGAGACTTTGACGCACTTGTACCTAATTAGAAACTTTGACGCACTGTACCTAATTTAGAGACTTTGACGCACTTATACCAATTAGAAACTTTGACGCACTTGTTTCCTAATTTAGAAACCTTTGACGCACTTGTACCTAATTTAGAAACTTTGACGCACTTGTACCTAATTTAGAAACTTTGACGCACTTGTACCTAATTTAGAAACTTTGACGCACTTGTACCTAATTTAGAAACTTTGACGCACTTGTACCTAATTTAGAAATTTTTGACGCACTTGAACCAAATAATTTAGAAACGGGACGCACCTAATCACTTGTTAATTATAGCACATCTGTGCATAATTTCTCGCAATTTTAGCGCATTTCTTCTTAATTACTTATGAATGGCACCTAATTAACGTATTAAAAGCACCTAATTATGGTATTAGTATGCACTTAATAATTAACACATTATTAAAGGGTATAGAATAAAGGCAAGTTGATGATACGATACATAGTTACTTGTCAATTTTGGACCAAGGGTACCTAATTAAGTGGCAGCTTTGTATCAAATTAAATATCAGCTTTAGACCACGGTACCTAATTAAGTGTCAACTTTGGACCAAAGGTACCTAATTAGTGGAAACTTGAATCAAAGGTACCTAATTAAGTGTCAACTTTTTACCGAAGATATCTAATTAAAAGTGAAAACTTTGGATCAAAGGTGCCTAATTTAAGTAGCAGTTTTTTTGGAACAAAGGTACCTAATTAAGGGGCAATTTTGGAACAAAGATGGCAACATCTCTCAGAAAAGAGCTAGACCCGTTGGGGTCATGCAGCTCCGGGAAGAGGAGAGTGCAGCTCCATTCGTCAGATCAAGAGCCCTTCAGTTAATTTACTTTTGTTTTTATTGTTTATGGGTGGGCCACCCTACAGCCGCCCACAGCTGCCCACAACCGCCTGCAGCCACCCATAGCCACCCCACAGCTGCCCACAACCGCCCACAGCTGCTACCCCATAGCCGCCCACAACCACCCCACAGTCACCCACAAACAACTACACCACCCACGGCCGTCTACGGCCACCCACAGACGCCCCCGGCCGTCTACAGCAACCCACAGCCACCCACGGCCGTCTAAGTCACCCACGGGCCCTCTAAAGCCGGCCACTGCCGTCTACAACCACCCACAGCTGTCTACAGCCACCCACGGCAGTCTACAGCTACTCACCCGCCGCCCATGGCCGTCTACAGCCACCCACAGCCGCCCACACGGGTGTGGGCAAAACGTGTCGATTCGTGTACGAAAAAAAAAGCAAATATGGGGTTTTACCCACACGGACTTGGAATACACACACACGGACTTGGAATACACACACACGGACTTGGAATACACGCACACGAACTTGGGAAAACACGCACACGGACTTGGAATACACACACACGGACTGGAATGCACGCACACGAAAAATTGGAATACACGCACACGGACATGGAATACACGCACACGGACTTGGAATACACACACACTAACTTGGAATACACGCACACGAACTTGGAATACACGCACACGGACATGGAAAACACGCACACGGACTTGGAATACACACACACGAACTTGGAATACAACGCAACACGAACTTGGAAACACGCACATAACTTGGAATACACGCACACGAACTTGGAATACACGAACTTGGATGTGCACACACACTGGCTCTGAGATACGCAACACAGATCTATACAGCGCACATAGACACGCTCCGTATAACGCACACAGGCTCGGAGCATACACACACCCACACACACACACAACACAACACACAAACACACACACACACACACACACACACCCCACATACACACACAAAACACACACACACACACTCACAAAACACACACACACACACACACACACACAACATACATACACACACGCACACACATTCTCGTTTCACACACGTACAGTTTTCGAGCATACACACACAGACTCGGAGCATACACACACAGGCTTGGAGCATACACACGCAGGATCGGAGCATACACACGCAGGATCGGAACATACACACAGGCTTGGGGCATATACACGCAGGATCGGAGCATACATACACAGGTTTGGAGCATAAACACGCAGGCTCGGAGCATACACACACAGACTTGGAGCATACACACACAGGGTTGGAGCATACACACGCAGGAAACGGAGCATACACACGCAGGACGGAGCATACACACAGGCTTGATGCATATACACGCAGGATCGGAGCATACACACGCAGGATCGGAGCATACACACAGGGTTGGAGCATACCACGCAGGATCGGAGCATACACACACAGGCTCGGAGCATACACACGCAGGATCGGAGCATACACACGCAGGCTCGGGGCATACAAAACGCAGGCTCGGAGCATACACAAAAGACTCGGAGCATGCACACAAAGGCTTGGAGCATACACACAGGTTCAGAGCATGCACACACGGGTTCGGAGCATACACACACACACATGCTCGGAGCATGCATACACAAGCCGGAGCTACACACGGGTTCAGAGCATACATACACAGGCTCGGAACATACACAAAATAGGCTCGGAACATACACACACAGGCTCGGAGCATACACACACAGGGTCGGAGCATAAAACACACGGATCGGAGCATACACACGGATCGGAGCATACACACACAGGCTCGGAGCATACACACACAGATCGGAGCATAAAACACACAGGATCGGAGCATACACACACAGGATCGGAGCATACACACACAGGATCGGAGCATACACACACAGGATCGGAGCTACACAATATGACACAATAGCATTGGAAGACAGTATTCGAATCCGTTACTGTACTTGTCCTAAAGAACGTGCACGTGTGTACTACAAGTGTACACATGAGACTGTAACATGAGTGCATGGTACAGAATTTGTCTCTGTGGGAGACGTGTGTCTGTCAGACGCACGTCTCTCAGATGTTTGTGAGAGACGTCTCTTACGATTCTGTGAGATATGTGTCTGTGAGACACTCTCTCTCACAGTCCCCTTGTGTCTGTGAGAGACTGTCTGTGAGACACACGTCTCTCATGTGCCTGTGTCTGTGAGATATTCGTCTCTCACAGTGTCTGTGAGAGGCTGTCTGTGAGACATGTCTCTCATGTGCCTGTGTGACGTTCGTCTCTCACAGTGTCTGTGAGAGACTTGTCTGTGAGACACGTCTCTCATGTGCCTGTGTCTGTGAGACATTCGTCTCTCACAGTGTCTGTGAGAGGCTTGTCTGTGAGACACATCTCTCTCATGTTCTTGTGTCTGTGAGATATTCGTATCTCACAGTGTCTATGAGAAGCTTGTCTGTGAGACACGTCTCTCATGTACCTGTGTCTGTGAGAGACTTGTCTGTGAGACACACGTTTTTCATAGTGTCTGTGAGAGATTTATATATGAGATACATGTGTCCTCACAGTCAAATTTCTCATGTCTCTCATGTATCTATGTCTGTGAGAGACGTGTCTGTAACTGCTTCTTAAGAAAATGAAGTTTGATTTCCTGTGGTCGACACTCTACTTACCTGGGGAGAGTTGATCTGAAGAAGACGACGAAGGTGAGGTGTAGATAGGTCTCTGCTGGTGGTGGTGCTGCTGGAGGGAGATGGATAGCGCGAGGTGGGGAGGTAGGAGCAGCTCCGGGGAGAAGGGGTCAGCGGTAACGGGCGGCGGGGCGGGCGTGGGGCCGCCACCTCCGCCAGCGGCTGCGGCGGCTGGGCTGCCATTGCTGCTGCTGCCGGAGGTGACGGGGGACCGGTATAACAACGACAGATCTCGCACCTCGTTCTCCTCCTGCGCTTGCTGCCGCCGGAGCGCTACCTGCGCTGCCATCACCCGCTGCCGCTCGGCGATTAGCGTGCACTTTGCGCAAATACAATCGCGCCATCGGCAGTAGCGTTTGTGACCTTTGAGTGCTGATACCACGCCATGGTTGCGGCAGCGGGCGCATTTTGGAGTGCGCTGATACCGCTCCGACGCCCGCAGGAAGAGCGCGGGCGGTAGCGACGACAGCATTTGACGCTGCGCCATCAGGAGGGCATCGCCCACAGGAACGTCCACATTAGATCCGCTCATGGCGGAGGGAGCCGCCCCGTCACCGCTGCCGCCGGCGCCTCTCACACTCCCTGAAGAAGACGTAATTGTGGCTGAACACTTGCAGGAGCTAGAGTGCGCTGCGTCAAGCTCCTCGTCGCAGGCAACGCAGCTGCCCTCTGGAAGTCCCTGAGACTGGCTGCGGCCCTGCCCTGGAGCGCTCTGACTCGCCTCAACGTTACCTCTAATCAGCAACAAGTTTGGCGGAAGCTGAAACGATAATAATCTCCCTTTAGATCCTTTCCCTCAGTACTCAGGCCAGAGAGCCCGCCTTCACCAAGAAGCCGCTTCCCATTGGTCTAGCCTCCTGCCCGCAGAACGAATGATTGGCCGAGAGAGTTGATACAATCAACAGCTCGCGCTCTCATTGGCTGCTTTTGGCGGGCTGCCCAAGAAGTAACTCGGTGAAGGCGCGAAACTCCAAACTGTTGCCAGAATGAAGAATTTTTGTAATAAGGAGTCAGGAAAAGACCTGAAGAATCAGGCAAGGATGACCCAGGATCACTCTAGATGGTGAAGATGAAGGAGGAAAAGCAGGAGGCTGGGAGGAAGGAGGGGAGTGAGTAGGTGGAGTCACAACACAGAACCACAAGAATGTCAATATTGTCGGAGGGACAGACTAGCCCATGTGCAACTTGGAACCATCCACTTCAAATGTTACTGTTACAAGAATGGCCGCCCTCCACACATGACGCCATGTTCCTCCACTCTAACACATGCTCAACTGACCGTCTTCTAAAAAGTGTGTATCTCAACACTTTCTTCAACAGAGGAACGGTGAACCTTAGGCCCATAACAGTAAAACATTTCTGCCACTAAATTACATTAAACGTTAAAAATAACGGCTTAAAACAGACATAAAACGATGATTTTATAAATCGAATAAAATATAAATACAATGATCTGTGATAATGCAAAAAAAATTTATGTGGTTCAGTAAGATGTGGATTTATTTAATAATAAATAGACACCGTGACGTTTAGACCTGAATTTGCAAGGCCGTACCAGACATGGTGGTGAAGACCACACCAGACCTGCTGGTGAAGACCACACCAGACCTGGTGGTGAAGACCACACCAGACCTGCTGGTGAAGACCACACCAGACATGTGGTGAAGACCACACCAGACCTGCTGGTGAAGACCACCCCAGACCCGGTGGTGAAGACCACATAAGACCCG